GGGGGGGGCCCAGGGATAGTTATGGGGGGGCTGTGGGCAGGTAATGGGGACCCCTCCCTTTTTATCCCCCCCCAACAAAGCACCCCCAGACACAGCTCCTCACACCCCCTTTTATTTCCTCCACATCAAGCCAAGGGGGGGACCCCCAAAAACCCCCCCAGATCCCCCCCAAACTGCAAGTTGGGGGTGGGGGGGTCACGACATCATCTCTCTTTTTTGGGGGGGCTCCATTTTTCCAGGAAACCAGGAATTTTGCCTGGGAATATTTACAATTCCAGCCCCTCCCCCTTGCATATTTTTTGGGGGGGGTCCCCCCAACCCCTTCCCATGGGATTCCTGGATACTGGGATAGAGGAAGAGGAGGGGACCCCCCTTTTTTTTTTTTCCCAATCCATGTTTTTTTGGGGCCCCCCCTAAAATTCCAGGTTGGATTTTCCTCCTTTGATCCCTTCCCAAGGATCCAAGTTTTCCAGATGTGGTGCCTGAGCTTTTGCATAGCTGGAAGGGATGGACTGGGATGGACTGGGACGGACTGGGATGAGCAACACTGGAGGGGAGGGGTTGAGATCCTCTGTTTCCCACCTGGAATTCCCTAAACATGGAGCTTTATCCTGGTGCTGGGAAATGCAGGGATGGACTGGGATGGACTGGGATGCACTGGGATGAGCAGCATTGGAGGGGAGGGTTTGAGATACTCTCTTTCCCACCTGGAATTCCCTAAACATGGAGCTTTATCCTGGTGCTGGGAAATGCAGGGAATTCCAGGGCTGAGAATTCCCAAAGGCTGGAATTCCCAACCCAAAAATTCCTGTCAGCTGGAAGTTTTTGGAATTCCTGGAAGTTTTGGGGGATCTTGGAGGGTTGGGAAAAATGGGATCAAAAAGGTGAGACCAAATGAGGTGAAAAACGGGGGAAAAATCCAGGGAAACCCAAAAAAAAAGCAGGAGATTGGGATGAGGGAATAAGAATTCCAAGGAATGGGGTGAAATTCCAGGGGTGGATCCACATGGATTTGGGGTTGGATCCAAATCTGGCTGGAAAGAATTCCTTAAATTGGGAATAAAGTGCTTCAATGAAGAGGAGGGAGGATAAAGGGGGGGTTGGATTTGTAACCTCCCAGGTTGGGAATTTGGGAATTCCATGGGATTCCTCCCTCTTCTCCTGATTTTGGAGGGGTTGGAAGAGGTGGCAGCAGCTTTGGGGGAGGGGGTGGGTGAGGGGAAGGGGGTTCCCAAATGTTCCTGGGGGTTGGAAAAGGAGGGCAAAGGTCCCAAGAAACTGAGGCAAAATGAAGGGAAATTCAACCTGGGAAGTTCTCGGCTCAAGGTGGGGAGGGATGAGGAGGTGAAGGTTGGGCTGGGATGAAGGTTCCTCCAGCCCTGTTGACCTCATGGGGTGGGATGAAGGTTCCTCCTTCCTTGGTGTCCTTTTGGGGTGGGATGAAAGTTCCTCCTTCCTTGATGTCCTTTTGGGGTGGGATGAAAGTTCCTCCAGCCCTGCATGAAGGTTTCTCCATCCTTGATGTCATTTTGGGGTGGGATGAAGGTTCCTCCAGCCCTGGTGTCCCCACAGGAAGGGATGAAGGTTCCTCCAGCCCTGGATGATGGTTCCTCCTTTCTTGGTGTCCTTTTGGGATGGGATGAAGGTTCCTCCTTCCTTGGTGTCCTTTTGGGGTGGGATGATGGTTCCTCCATCCTTGATGTCCTTTTGGGATGGGATGAAGGTTCCTCCAGGCCTTCTGTCCTCTTGGGATGGGATGAAGGTTCCTCCAGACCTGGATGATGGTTCCTCCTTCCTTGGTGTCCTTTTGGGGTGGGATGAAGGTTCCTCCAGCCCTGGATGATGGTTCCTCCAGCCTTGATGTCCCCACAGGAAGGGATGAAGGTCCCTCCAGCCCTGCTGTCCTCACGGGGTGTAGGCTGGTGGTGGCTGGAACTGGTTGATCACCTCATACTCAGCTGGATAAGGTTCATTCTCCTCCATCTCTGACAGCAGCTCCAGGGCCTGCTCCTCTTCCTCAGTGGGGTAGTGCCTGAGCAGGTTGGCAGCTGTGGCCAGGATGGAGGCTCCTCCAGCTCCTGCCACCAGGTAGAAGCTGACAGCAAAGGTGACATAGACCTGGGACCCGTGGTACTTCTTGTGCTGCTGCTGCTGGGCCAGGATCAGCTCTGAGGCCCAGTAGCAGAACCCAATGACTGTGGCACATTGCAGGACTGGGGGAGGGGAAAAAAAACCAGGAGAAGGGTGAGAATCTGGCCCCAAAATGACCAAGGACCTGGTTCTGGGGCTCAAAGGGGCGACCAGAAGCACCAGGAGGCCAAGAAATGAATCAATTCATTGGTTTGGTGGCTCAAAGGGGTGATTAGAAGAACAAAATTGGAAATAAATTCATCAATAAATTGGTTTTGTGGCTCCAAGGGGTGATTAGAGGCACAAAAAGGCCAAGAAATTCATCAATGAATTGGTTTAGTGGCTCAAAGGGGTCACTAGAAGCACAAAAAATGTAAAGAAATTCATCAATAAATTAATTTTGTGGCTCAAAGGGGTGAGTAGAAGCACAAGAATGTGGCCAAAATAATCAATACGTTGATTTTGTGGCTCCAAGGGGTGATTAGAGGCACAAAATGGTAAATAAAGTCATCAATAAATTGGTTTTGTGGCTCAAAGGGGTCACTAGAAGCACAAAAAATGTAAATAAATTCATCAATAAATTGGTTTTGTGGCTCAAAGAGGTGACCAGAAGCACCAAATTGGAAATAAATTAATCAATAAACTGGTTTTGTGGCTCAGAGGGGTCACTAGAAGCACAAGAATGACACCAAACTAATCAATAAATTGGTTTAGTGGCTTAAAGGGGTCACTAGAAGCACAAAAAATGTAAATAAATTCATCAATAAATTAGTTTTGTGGATCAAAGAGGTGATTAGAGGCACAAAATTGGAAATAAATTAATCAATAAATTGGTTTTGTGGCCCAAGCAGGTGAGTAGAAGCACAAGAATGTACCCAAAATAATCAATACATTGGTTTTGTGGCATAAAGAGGTGACCAGAAGCACCAAATTGTAAATAAATTCATCAATAAATTTGTTTTGTGGCTCAGAGGGGTCACTAGAAGCACAAAAAATGTAAATAAATTCATCAATAAATTAATTTTGAGGCTCCAAGAGGTGCCCAGAAGCACCAAAACCCAAACCAATGACAATCAACTCATCAATCAATCAATTCCGTGGCCCGAGGGGGGGACCAGGAGCACAAAAAGAGTTTGGAAACAGGTTTTTTTTCCCCTTTCCCATGACCTGGGAGGAGATTTCCCTGAGCTGCTGGGGGTGATTCCCTCAGGGATGAGGGACATTCCAGCTCCTTTCACCTCAGGGGGGCGGCAAAAATCCACCTTTTTCCTTCAGAAAAGGGGAAAAATAACACTTAAAATCCATGTTTTTCCCTTTTCCCTGCAGGATTTCATCAATTTTAGTGGGTTTTTTTGGTTTTGGGAGTGAAAATGTTGCCTGTGGGTTTAGTTTTTCCCCAGTTTCTTGGAGAAAGGGGTTGGGATTGGGGGGTGGGGTTGGGATTAGGGGTGCCTGGGGGTTCAGACTTGGTGGGATTTGGGGAGGGAAGGGATTTGAGGAGGGGGGGAGGTACCTGTGAGGATGTGGGCGAAGGCGTAACGGCGGGTGATCTTGAGGGCAGGGTGTTTGGGGCCAAAGACATCCAGGAGGAAGGCCGAGAGGCTGCACAGGATCCCCAGGAAGCAGAAGGCCGCGATGACCCGGAGCAGCAGGACGGTCTGGGGGTTCATGCAGTAATCTGGAATGGAATTCCCTGATGGAATCCTTGGGGTTGGGAGCTGAAAGCTCCCCAGCCTGGCCCCCAACCCTCCCATCAGCTCCTCTGGACTCTCCAGGAGCTCCAGGTGTCCCTTCCACAACTGCACCATCCCAGACAATCCCAACCAGGTCCCACGGGAAGATCAGGAGGCTGAGGGGAGCCCTGATCCCCCCCGGGCTCAGCTGTGGGGCAGGACAGGGGCAGGAGGGGCTGGAGCGGGGCCAGAGCAGGACCCGGGTGGTGGGGAAGGGGCTGGAGCACAAGGAGGGGCTGCAGAACCGAGGGGGGAGCTGGGGGGTCCAGCCTGGACCTTCCAGGCCCCTGGAACCATGGAATGGTTTGATCCAACCCCAACCGTTCTTGGACTGGAGGATCTCCAAGGTCCTTCCCAACTCCAACCACCCTTTCCTGCCCCCCCAACCCCCCCTGAGGGCAGAACGACCCGGGTCACCCCCCAACTCCCACCCCTCCCAGCCCTGAGGGGCTTCATGGGAACTGGAGCATCTCCCGGGCTGCTCTGGGCCCTCTCCAGGAGCTCCAGTCCTGACGGGGACCAGAGACCAGTTTGTAGCTCTGGGCTGCCCAGGAACCTCCTGGTTCCCCCCCCACCCCCACCAAGTTCTTACCTCCTGGTTGGGGTGCCAGACCACGTGCTTGACGTCCTGGGTGTGTGAGTTGAGGACACTGACACACTCATACTCCTCCTCCTCATCCACTGCGGAGGGAAAGGACCCTCAGGGAGGCTGGGAGGGGCACCCAGCCCACCCTGGGGGGGTCACTGGGACACCCCCCAGTGACAA